AAATCTTATTCCAATCTATCCAATTACAAGACACTCGCCTATATTTATAGAATTCAAGTAGCCACATAATAGGCTACACAAGAGATATAGCTACATCAATCACTAATACGAAAATACAATTTATTTATATGAATGCTCCTGCGTCAACCCCTTTCGCATGCTGCATCATGGATAGCTTGAGATTCTCTTCTCATGCAACCAATGTAGTGTCACCCAACAAATGCTTTTAAGTGCCATTTTATAAGATTTCTCCAAAAGAAAATCATTGCTTAAATGTATATCTAAGTAATTAATACCCGACCAGAAATTATTCCTTCCGATATTGTTATTTTAGTAATTGGATAAGTCTAATGATCTTCTGATAAACAAGTAGGAAGATTGTTCATTCAGTAATGGAGAATGCTAATCACATGACATCGAAGTGTGCATTCTATGATAAAAAAATATTTGAATTTTTGTTATATGCTAGATGTAATTCAATTTATCTGAATTCAGATATAATACAAGTATAAATCACATATATTGAAAATTTTTGCTATATTGATAAAGTATATAAAAGGACCATGAAGTGATACATAAATAAAATTGAGTGCATACAAACTGTTTCATGCTGAGATTACATTCTTCACATTTCATATATATCAAACAAATAAGATAAGAAGAAAGAAAGAAGTTTGCATATGTATTTTGAAATTTTCATTAAAGAAAAAAGATATCAGGAATGTGAGCAATCTTGTGCCGATCGGAGCCTCCGTCCTCTCCATAGCGCTCCTTCAGCTCTCGATGACATCTCTCAATTGCTAGACATTTCAAAGAGGGAGGAAGGTTCGGTAATTCCCGAAGCATAGGAACGCCAGTGATACGTAGATACTGAAGTGAAGATAAGCTTTCGAAGGTGGAAGGGAGAGACTGTAAGGATTTGAGATTAAAAATTAACAGGTCAGAAAGAGAAGACCTCACAGTCAGAAGCCACTGCTCCAACTCATTTGGAAATGAAACCACCTCAGCTTGAAACACAATACTCAGCCTTTTTAAGGAGGCGATGCTTCTCAATGGCTCCATTAGCAACACGGATGGATCACTTATATCAAGATCGTCGAGCATGAGGTGGCAATTATTAGTGGTCTCCACTTGTCGATATCTTCCCAGAGAGATCAGATTAGGGCAATCACTAATTGTCAAGTATCTTAGTGCTGCAAGCCTTGCTATTTCATCAGCCAGAGGAAGAGATATAATGTTAGGACAGTGATAGGCCTCTAATGATACAAGGGGAATAGGATTTGAATTGCTACAAAAATTCAAAGTCTTCCACCCCATGTTTGATATATTCAACCCCTTGAGCTTAGGAGGCAAAGAGGGCAACTCTTTCAACTTCGGGCAGTCATGTAGCTCCAGATTAATTAAGCAAGGAAACAAACATCCATCTTCAGCAGCTACTCCTGCCTCAAACCAATCCTCTAATGCTTCTAATCTGTGAATATATAACTTCTCTAGCAATGGAAAGGCATGGTATTTTTCATTCCCATTAAATTTACTTTCGAGCCATTTTACTTTAGGCATCCTTGCAAGTTTTAGAAACTTGAGGAAGGGAAGTTGCCCGAAAGGAGGAAGAGTTTCCAACTCCAAGCAATCTGTCAATGAGATTATCTCTAGATTGAAGATCGGATTGACATTGTTCATCCATATTGCAGACCTTGCACCCATGTATCTCTTTATGCTCAGATTCCTTAGACATTTTGGTGGCTGAAGGTTGTGGAGCACATTCTCATCTAAATCGTTGTTCGTCGAATCAATGTGACTATGACTCCAACATAAGGTCAAATCTGTGAGTCTCCTCTTTTCACATAATTGGGCATTACGAGCCTCCTCGCCATCCTTAAGATTTTCAAGACATTTGATTCCTAATTTGTAAAGATCATTCATATTCTTCAGCTCCCCAATTCTATAACCACTCTCATCTCTAAGTATAAACTTACACAGTTCTTGAAGAGACTTTAGCTTCCCAATCTCACAAATCCATGAAATACAATTCTTCGGCAATTTCACGTAACGCAAGTTTAAAAGTTTATTAATGTCATTTGGTAAAAAATCATCACCTTCAGGTTCGTCTAGGCTCCGTGGCCGCTCACAGATAATGTATTGCAAGTGATAGAGATTACTTAGAGATCTTGGCAGCATAGTCAAATTATAACAATCAATCTTTAAGTATCGAAGATGTATCAAATTTCCAATCTCCTCAAGTATCAATTTCAATTCAACTTTATCAATACATATGTATAATAAGCGTAGGCTTCTCGAAACTTTTAATATTTCAATAAGTCCACTACAAAGATCCTGATCATGAAAATCTTCATAGAACAAGAAAAGAGAATGCAAATGTTTCAACTTCTCAATCTTTCTTAAGATGTCTGGTTTTGCATTTAGAACAGACAAGTGTCGAATGGTCTTAGAAATTTGGAGAGATGACACTTCATCATTAACAAGTTTACCGCATACCTGTGCAAAAAATCTACATGCTGACTCATGTATTAAATCATGCATCTTGTAGTTATATTTGACCACCAAATCGTAATCATCAGCCTCAAACTTGTCAAATAAAGCTTTTTTGACTAAAACATCAAAATACCTTCCTCCGATATCCTCCATCGTCATTCCTTGAGACGGCTGAATGAAACCCAATGCAATCCACATTCGGACTAAATCATCTTTATCAAACTTATGATCTTCTGGGAACATACAACAAAATGCAAAACAATTTCGTAGATGATTCGGCAGAACTATATAGCTCAGTCTTAAGATGGAATGG